GGATGGTGTATTTTAAGATGTTTTGTCTGTTTTGACCCTTTAAAATGCATGTATTGAATTTTGATTTTAAGTCCATTCAAAGAGCAGCATGTTGAGAAATGATAAAACACGAAAAAGCAAATTATAAAACATGTCAAATTGAAGTAAAGTGGATCTGAGCTGGTAACACTGAAACCTTTTTATGCATTTCATGCTGGCTTAAAGACCAGAAGAACTAAGGTTAGATGTGTTGCGATCAGATTTGTTTTGACTCCCTGTTGTCAAGCTCACAGAGAGCTGTTCAATATACATATCCATGCTCCACAAGGTAAGAATACTCTTTAAAACGATTTTATACAATTACGCTGGAAAGCCAGAGGATCTGCTTTGGCTGAATAATTCACTTTTCCACCCTAGTGAGATCAAAATTCCGGTCCAAGCAAGCACAGTAGGTTGAAAACCCCCACTGTTCATTGCTGTCCAGAAATCTTCTTCCTCTCCCATTTCAACACTGAGCAGAGGAACCATGATAGAGACCTGCTGGAGTCCTCTGGGCGGGTGACTCACTTCTAGTCAAAGTGATGAAAAATTTATCTTGCCAGGTTCTGCTTATCTTGAGCTCCCTGCAAAGCCTCATTACATCTTTTGGAAAAACTCTACTTTGATTTTTGTTTTCAGTTCAGAAGATACTGACGGAGCTTCAACTGCTGGCATTTACTTTTTTTTAAAATAGCATTCATTACTGTAACACATTTTTGTAGGGTAAGCAGTTCAAAATCCATGAACAATTCGTTTAAATTGCTGAAGCCACAGTTTATATGACAAGGAGGTTAGTGGGGTTAAAGGCCAAAGAATCCTGGCTAATATATGTATGTGTTTAATAAATGACAAGTACCAGCAGGAGGGTTGAGAGGAGAGGGAGCGTGAGTTGAAACTAGAATTAAGTGAGGTTTTCGTTCACATAGGATTAGATGCCTCTCACTGCCGAAGATGGATTCAGTCCAGCACTCTCTCCCTGTTGCTTTTCTTTCACCTCTTATTTCTCTCCTTTGTGATCCTGCAGTCTTTGATCTTTCTCCTTCCTTTGTGTTCTATTCCTCTAGTCTGCAGACATTCTTTTACTCCTTATGGTTGAAAATCGCTCCCATTTTCATTCATCAATTCATTTATTGGCAATAGTAATAACAGAATCTGCTTTTCATTCATTCATTTTGCTCGTCACACTCATACACCAATCAACCACAACATCTTTCTAATCTTGTGGAGGTCTCCCTCAAGCTTCCTAAACAGCTCTGACCCAAAGGGGTAAAAACACTGGAGCTTAAAGTGTGTCCTGTGATGTCAGGCACTTGGATTTATACAGCACGTTCTTGGAGTCTTGTGAGTAGCGGGGTGGGACTTGAGCATGTGAATGTCAGATTGGAAAGGATTTTAAAGCATAGATCATTGCCTCTTTTGTTGTGTTTCTTGGCCAAATCCTGAGCATTTCCTTTGGGGAGTAGGGATTTGTTTAGAACAATGTTTAGGTGGATGGTGCATGTCAAAAGATCCACCTGAATGCCCGGACCTATCAGAATATTGCATTGTAATGAGATGATCAGTATTATTCATTGGATTTGTCAGTATTCAGTGTTAAAGATAAGCATTGTACACTAAACAGCTGGGATGATTATTTGAAATCTGCTCTACAGTTGCAGAAAACATTTTCCTGCTTTTATAGTTTCAATAGTTATATAGTTATTTGTCAAATGCAGCGTGATGATAATTTTGTGAACTATATTCTAATTTTTTTGTCGCTTTTTAATAGGAAACTAAAACATTTATGGATGTAGTAGCAGTCGTAATTTAATCAGAAGACCGTCTCCAGCTATTAAGTTGAATAACTGTTTAACTGTTTACAAATTCTGAGATATAAAATGTAAGTCAAAATTAAATATTGCTATTATAATTTGCCCTTTTTTTCCTTAATTTCAACTTTTTGACTGAAGTCAACAAAAGTTAAGTTTCGCTTCTTGTGCTGTTACACGTTAGCCTACTGTACAGGCCTCACAAAACTTGATTTGGAGATATTTTATTACCTGAAATGATAACATCACAGGTTTCATCCTCTCTGAATAAAAGGGAACACGCCTTATAAAAAGGTCAGTAGCTTCTTTCAAATGTGCATAAGCACAAGGAAAGATAATAGCTGGGCTTGGCTCACTGTACTTGTTTTCCTCCCGAAGGCTGGATTATTTTACACCTCGGCTCAAAATGCACAATAGTGACTGGCAGGGGTGTAGGAACTACCCTGAAAGCTGGAAACACTGACACGATCGACCTGTAATAGAGAATTATGTTTCCCAAACGTGGTGGAAAAAAATTCAGACAAAGTATATCACAAAGCTCAGCTTTTCAATTACAGTAGTTACAGTAATTGCTGCTGCAAGGCATCAAATACAAAAGCCAGCAGACGCCTGTAGGTATACCAGACAGATGAATGTGAAAAAAGAAGCCCATGGAAGCCTCTTAGTCAAATTCATGTTCATCATAATTAACTGTAAATTGAACAATTGGACATAACCTGTTTCTGAACAGCCATAATATATGGTTTAAAGATTATTATAAAGCAGCTTCCCATTAATACCAATCTGGCTGTGAACAAGACGCAAGCATACGATGTCTAACAATCTGTTGTTAGAATGAAAAATAATTATTCTCAACAATTCCATAAGATATTTTTTGTATTCACTGCATTGCAGAAGAAAACTCAAGCTGTGGCTTTGACATCATTATTTTTGGAAACCCTTTGCCTCCAAGAAGCCTTGCTGTCTCTGTCATCATTGCATGATGAGTCACAGCCAGCTCCAGGTGTAGATAAAAAAGATAACACCAAGATGCTCTGTTTGACAGGAGATATAATTGTTTAGGATGTACCCATGAAATTCCTTTTCTAACATTGAATACAACTGTACTGTATTTAATTGGCTTCATCCATAGTGGAAAGGGTCCACTTGAGGACAGTTTTATCTCTTGGTAAGGTCACTACAGGTCTACCATTGTTTAACTTTTACCACTTTAAGTTTCTTAAGAACAAAACAAAAAGACATGAATCTTTAGATACGTGTCACAAAGCTGCTATTCTTCAGTGGACAGCAAAGACAAATCTTGCGTGGAAAGGGCCTGGAGCCAAAATGCAAAGCAAATTGTTTTGTTTTCCCCCTGCATATTCTTTTTACTACTCTTACTCTTCCTAAAGGTGGGCAATGTTACTGATTATTCAACATTTACACAGTGAGCTATGTGATCTGTCTACCTTGAAACTACTGCTGATGCATCACTGTTGCTGGGAAAACACCTAATTATCTTAGCTACTCAGCTGTATCAGGAAATACCCCATCTCCATTCTTGTAACAAACAGTGCCTTTTCATTTCCTTTCCTGGCTACTTTTGGAAGATAACAAATATCCTTCCTCAGAATTTTAAGAATCTGTAGGTGGACAACATTTTCTTTTCTAAATCTCTTTAAAGATTTCATATTTAAATTCTGTCTGACTGTAAGTTATAGGCTCTACTAAATGCCTAGCAGAACAGTTACCAATTAAATGAACAGTACCATACATACAGACAGAAACACAAATGTCTACATACTTACACTGCTATCACAACTTTAAAGAAGTATAACAGAGCAAAGTGAGGTCAGAAATTCTGGTCCTAAATGTATTTCCATATGTGAAAGTCATGTTTGAGATTATTAGTTGTATCTGTTATAAATTTGCACATTTCTTGTTGCAATCTCTGTTTTTATTAGTTGAAGTGTTAAAAAAAAAAATTTTTTTTACGTTTTATGTATATACGTATGTATACAAAATACACACGATACCAAGTAATCACGTAGTTATGAAAACTAACCAAAATCTAAATGGCTCATATTGCTCTTTATACATATGGATGGCTTTATTTAAGGCTTTTAAAATGTTACCAAAAGTCATCAGAATTACACTGTAAATAAAAGAGGTAGATTAAACGAAAGGTTCGGCAAGTTTTTCATGGGTCTACATACTCACAGATATAGTTCCCGTATAAATGTGGCACTATTTATAAGGAAATAAGATAAGATTTCTTGCCAAGAAGCATTTCTTTTCATAGAACTATAGTTATGTAGGTTCTGCAATGGTTTGATGACAAATGTGGGAAAGTGGGAAAAGAAAACAATCATCCAAAAAGATCATTTCACAAATATTTGTGTACAGAGATATTTTGTTACTCAGATTATTTGGGGAAAGGTAAAAGGAAAAACTCTGCTTTTGAAGTTTTGGTATCAAATTTAATGTCAATAATGTGACATGTTGGTGGTTTTGCTGATTAACAAAATCGTGATACTGACATCCACCAGGTAGAGTATTTTAAGTAATCAGGATACAAATAGCTACAACAGAGTCCAAACATATAGACAGACTACAACTAAATAAAATACAAGTTCCTCACACTGTCAGCACAAGAGTTGGGGATGAGGAGGCTGCAGTGTCACAGTGTGGCTCTGGATTTCCTGACATTCTTGTCAAAAATGTCAACTTCCTTCTTCAGCCTGGCATAAATTATTTCTCAAAATGTGCAGAGTCTACAGTTTACTCCAGTTCCTACCTAAGTAAAGTGTCAATACTAAGACTGTTATAAACAAACTGTCAATCAATATGCTGAACAGTAATATAGAGCATGAACTATAAAGATGTTTGTGTACCACTCTAAAAAAAATCCCAATTAAGACTAGTATAGAGTATGGAACACTTTTTGTATTTATTTGGGACTAATTTGGGACATGTAATGTTTTTGTGTTGTATCCTGTAGTAATATCAAATGTCTAAATTGTAACAGAGGCAGATGTGTTTAAAAACGTTGCCACAGATGCTAGAAATTCATACAATTTAATGAGAGTGCGATATAATCTGCTGGATAAAAGAATCCTACATGCATGTCATTTTTTTATTACAGGAAAACACCAAAGTTCTCTTCATGTGTTTGTTTTCTTTATGCCGCTGCAGATCTTATTGTCAAACTGGCAAAGGACAAGTTTGGAGCCATTCAGACGGAATATCAAAAGGTAACTGAGTGTGTGCTTGTTTGTGTGGTGAAATTATTGCTTTTCTGTGCCTTTCATCCTCCTTGCTGCATGTTTTTACTGATTGGAAACAGCAACTCATGAAATACATTACATTAGAAATGTAGCTCTGAGAAACGCAGTAGTCTGTGACTTCTCTAAAACAAGGTGTCAATAGCTTTCATTAGCCAAGGCAATGCCATCTTTTTACCGGCATTCCAGGGGGAAAAAATGGTTATTGCTTCTGGCACAACCTATAAATTTAGAGAGATAAATCATTTGAGCTCATCGGAGCAAACAGGTTTGACAACCAAAGGCTTTTTTAGGCCTGAGAGCTAAATAAAGAGTGCAATTTGCAGTCTTATTTGTGTGCTATGTATGGAAATGCATGACTTTAATTTCTCTTTTTGTTGTTCTCTTTCATCACATGTGTTCACTTTGTGGCTTTGCTCTTTTTTTTGATGCTGCATTGCCTTTGTCTTCTGCATGCCCTCTTCATCTGATCTGGCCTCCTTCAGCCAGAGAACATAGTGCTGACCCTTCAGGTAAAGTCTGCACACTGGACTTAAAGTCTAACCGATCCCCCCCTTCCCATAATTCTCCACTATGAAAGTCATCAAGGCTGCACAATCATAGCTGAGATATTAATCTTGTATATTTTGTCATATTGATAATTGGAATATACAGGATTAGTTTTGCAGCCTTGTAACTTTCTCTCAGCCATCCCATCAACCTCACAGCCACCTTGGAACCTTCCCTTTAGCTTGACCTAAACCGTAGCCCCTCTTTCTTTTTGAAGCACATCCTTGTGCAGAGTTTTGTTTTTTCACTTTTATGGAAGTGACAGAGATGACTGGATAGAGAAACATAGAAAAAATGTTTTATACCACTAAGTGTCAGAGAATTCTACTTTGAATTTCATCTAGTTTGAACTTCGTGTTACAGGGGGTTATGGTAAAATATTGCCTATAGTTCTCCACTGGCTCCTGAGGACCTACTGTGAGGCTAATATGTAGCACAAAACGGGACACTTACTGCCATATCAATCCAACATCGTCACTCAAATTTGACTTTTTTGAACTGCAAAGTAGTCTCCTTCTTTAGTTTTTATTATTATAATGATTAACAAGGATATTATACTTATGTTCATTATGTCAGTGCATAAACAGTGTTCAGTGCTCATGGTGAATATCTCTGTATTCACTAGTCAGCATCTCAGCTGTATTTACTTTGACATCCACTTAAAAACACAGCATGTAAAAGCCACATGTAACACAACAGATACATTATGTTCGGGATCCTGATGGTGGCAGAACTCTGGACCTGGACTTGTAGTGTGCATTAAGTGCAGCATTTCCCCTGGTTTAAAAATCTTTTCTATATCAGCATAAACAGGCCGGACTACCTCACAGGTCAACAAACTGTAACAGTGATTTTTACTGTGATTCTACAGCAGAGCTTTTAAATGGTTTGAATTTGTGCTTGTAGCCTGCCTGTAAAAGGCGGTGATTTCAAACTTTTATTGGAAGAGCAAAGCAGAATAGACTCTGTCCCAGCATGATATTATCCAGTGTCATGCCTGCTACCTTGAACATTTTGTAAAATAAATTCTTCCTCATATTGGGGAAATTGCTTATCACATCAGGCCCAATGCATTGCAGTTTTTGTTTTGTTTTTTAATATTTATTTTTTTAAGAACAGCCTTTCATAGCCCTCATAGACAAATGCAAAGCAAATCAATCATCAGGCTTTAAAATACTATTTAATGCAAAATCACAGCTGGCAGTGTGTACGGTAGTCTTAGTTTTAACCAAAGTTTGCTTACGGTGGATTTAAGTTGTCCAACCGTGTGTTTGAGAGTGTGTGTATTTACATGTTTTCCTGCAAGTATATGATGTTAAAGAGTACTTATATATAAATGTTTGTTCATGACTTTATAGGGTATTTTCTGTGTTAGTGGGTGCTATACACCTACTTAAAAATCAATTTGACAAAATTCTTCAAATCGTACACTTTTACCTCTTCATTCAACCGTGTTACAGTTATTCATTTTATCTCAGTTACCCTGTATTAAACAAAGCTTTCTTAAAATAGGCTGCTCTTCTTAAACTTTGTGTTGATTTGAATAGGTGAGTGGGGCTTCATATGGCCTCACATGGCCTCATTGTTGCATGTGTGTTGTTGCTGCCTGTGTTTGAGTAATTTCTGTAACTGAGACATCTGCTGCTGCCTATCTTGGTCAGGTCTCCCTTGAAAAAGAGGTTTTTAATCTCAATGGGATCTTCCTGGTTAAATAAAGGTTAATAAATAAATAAATAAACATGGCCATTTTAGATCTATCCACTCTAATAGTAAACATACAGAATCCCAGAAAAACAGAGCAGAGAAGTAGGCTGAGCTCTTATTGGGCATTAAGTTAACTGTTAATGAATCAAGGAAACTGCTTCTTGCTTGAGGATGCTTCAGCATGCCTCATGGCTGCTGCTGGCATTAAATCTGTTTCATGTTAAAGAAATTCACATCTTCACTCTTCAGACATGCTGCCAACCCATCATCCAGTTTGTTCTTATTGGAAGGTCACCTTCTTCTTTTGGGCACTTGCCAAGACAAAGCTATAGTCCCAAAATAGTAAGAGCTGGAGGCCCTTTAAGAGTGGCGGTGGAAAAAAAACGGCACATTTTTGACCTTTTTTTTTTTTTTTGCTGAAGATTCACCCAATAACAAGCAGAGCCCAGAAGGAGAATGACAATGCAAGCACTACAGTTTGCACAGTGTCCTCAACAACTGTGCTGACATTGGTGCCTTTAGATGATACACATACACATATGTGCACACACCCACGCAGACACACAGTCTTTCCTTTAGTTTTTGCCTCACAGCATTTTCAGAATCTCTGATTTCCCTTTTTCTCTTTGGACTCTGCAGTCTATATTTTTAAGGTCATAAAGAAAGTGATTAAGAGACTTTTTTGATGTCTTAGAAATTAATGTAGTCAAACAGCTGGAGCCTTCACTCCTCCAAACATTAGCGACAGGACTGTGGGTTATTATCTTTACTCGGGTTTTCCATGTGTGCGTAAAGATTTAAAAATGAACCAGAAGACTGTTCCTCTCAGTCTTATTCAGAATCTATTTCTACCCTACCTTTTAGCCAAAAGCCAATGAAGGAGTCCCTGAAGGAGGCAGGTCACTGACTTGTGAGGGCGATTAAGATTAGTACAAATCAGCTGGGAGAGCAGTTCCTCTATTCAACGCAGTGATAGCAGTGCTGCTTTGATCCTTTCATAACGAGAAGCTATTGAACATCATTGTGACAAGTTACATATGGTGTGGGAATTACCAATCCCCTATTTAATTTTGACAATTTCCAGAGCCTATGTCTGCGTGCAGTTTAGGTAGGGGCAGATTAAGTAGGAGCACTGTGGCACATGACAAGAAGAGCAAGTGAGAAGCTGCCAACAGCAGCATTTTAACTCTCTCAGTATATCAGAAAGAATTTGCTAAAGAAGCTTGTCATATTGAATATTGAAAGTTAAGGATTATTTAGGCCGTCATTGACAAATGATGTGCAGATTTCATAGGTGATGTTGAAAGGGTTCTAATTCCAGTAAATACAGTAATAGAAAGCACCGTCTCCAGGCTTGCCCTTGTGCTGTGGAGGTGCACATCTACAGCGAATGCAAAATCTCCTCCACTGTGTCACAACAGGGATCCTTTAGCATGCATTTCATTTTAAAGTTGCAGGAACTGACTCGGGGAAAATACTGAGTGGTGAAGGAGAATGTGCCTTCTCACAGTTTTGACAGTCTGACCCTAGGGGATGAATTCACCACATATAGACCCATAAATATATTAAAAATATATTTTAAAAATATCTGCATGCTCCTGCTTGCACTCTTGATATGATGCTACTGATGAGAGTGCTTTGTTGTGCTTGGAGGCCACAGGCTTTGCCACAGAGCTCAAGTTTGACCTCTGTGGTATAAAATTTCAAATGTGCACCTGCAAGGGGTCAGAGCAGGACTTCCTGGGAGCAATTCAAATGTAGCAGGAGCTCCACAAACAGAGCAACGCAGAGACAAACAAATTTAAACCAGGTCCGTTTTTTGTTTCTTTTAGGTGCAGAACTTAAAACTTCTTGTTGTGTTGTCTTATTCGAAGAAGTTAATGAAGTAAATATAAGATGAGTAATTTAGTCTATAAAGATGGACACATTTGTTAGAATCTTCCTGAAGTTTGGATGTAAGGTTGTTTTATGAAACTGAAGAAGTGACTTGGATGAGTGACAAATCGTTTCTCCCACTGAAAACACTACGTCCAGATGAACAGAATTAACCTTTTGGGATTTACTTACCTGACTGATTGAGCATGCATCAAGACATTACATTTGTCAGTTTTAGCTAGGCGGAGGAAATGGTTACATTTTCTGATTACCGGCTACAAATTTTCACAGTAAAATTTCAGTTTCAGCCACCTAAGTTAATTTTTTTTTGTTTATTTGTTTTAGAACTTCACCTCACCATTACTTACTAAAATCCTCTCCTGAATCCTGAAAGTTGGAAGAATCATCCACTGCCAACAAATGATTTCGCTTGCTTCATGGTTTGACTCCCTAAACTTAAATAAATTATAATGGTCTTAGGCATATACCTTATTTTCAATGAATGCAGAGCTCCACTGAAACAGGTATAATGATCTCACTCTGGGGCCTGATTTTTCTTGAAAGAAGAAAGATTAGGAAGTCGTTCCCTTTAGTGTGTTAATTCCTATTGAAGCAGGTTTTTCATCAGAAATGCTGTCTTTTTGCTTCGTTATAGTGGGAAGAACTGTACCACAGGGCTACTGTACAGGGGAAGCTCCTTTGAGTATTTTCCCATCATGCTTCATCTGTTACTATCCTGCCAGTGCATTTTGCTGTTGGGTTAAAATGTTTGCAAAAACAATGTCCAACAATTGCTTTCTGCAACAGTCTCAACACATTTTCCCCTTTCACTTTCAGTTTGCACTATAGTGTGCAGGGACAAAAACCTTCATCCTACTCATTTTTTGTTTTAGTTTTGGCATTTGTTTTGTGTAAAAATGCAGTCAGGAAGTTGAATTATTGAATTAGCTTGCTGTATTTAACAAAGAGAGGATTCTCCTGCAGTGAGTAATGTTACGCAATGTCTTTGTCCATCTGCAAATCCTGTTTGGACAACTAGAGAGAACTCGCAGCGGTGGGATTCTACCAGATATTTTTAGATTTGTTCATCATTTTATCCTTGTATTCCTTGTGTGCATCCTTCCGTCTTTTTGTGTTTTCTGCTATTAATTTATCCTTTTCTCCTCATTTTCTCCCTCACTCCTAAACATTCACCCCCTCCTTCTTCTACCAAACCAATCCTCATCTCTTCATTTACTGACTCACCTCTCTTTGTTGTTATTATTCATAAATAATTTGTCCATCTTTCTGCATCTCATTTTCTTTTTCCCTTTCACTCCTCTCCCCCGACCCCAGGCCATCTACTACGAGATAGGCTTCCTAGTTTGTGCAGCAGTGGGCCTGCTCTTTACCATTCTGATGCCAATAGCCGGGCTCTTCTTCTGCATGTGCCGCTGCTGTGACAACTGTGGTGGTGAGATGCACCAACGCCAGAGGAAGAATGCAGACTGCCGGCGTGGCCTCCTGGGAACGCTGCTCTTCTCCACCTCACTGGTCATCACGTGAGTATGACACATGCAGAAATGACACACATAAGTGAAATATTCAGAAATCGGTTTGCAAGTAGACGTGCACATTCTGCATGCAGACATGCATGTATGCATACACTGGGGTTATAAACAAGATGCATGTCTGTCTTTTACGGCGATACTCTCATGCACATGTGTACACATGTTAGTAACACACACACACACACACACACACACACACACACACACACACACACACACACACACACACACAGTCATCAGTTTTCCTCCTCCCCCATGCTGTTTGCTATATATAGTTGAGTCCTACTGTAGATTGCATGTGGCAGCACCCTTCATTCTTTTATTCATTCAAAGCTCTGGTCACTATAACCTTCTGGGGATCCAGACTGAAAGCTTTCATTTACTCTTGTGGCAATCTCTCAGTGCACATCTAAAATACTACAAATCGAAGATAAATCCGCAATATGCTTTGGAATTTGACCGCAATAATTCTGGTAAACACTTCTGACCTTTTGACAATACACACAATTTCACCTAGACCTGTACTCCTTGGTATTCATTGTAATGAATATAATACCGTTAAACTTTTTTCACATTACTGCACAGTCGTCATTGTTTGTCTTTTATATGCACATTTTAAGCAGTGGCTTTCTCGAATAGGACTGCGGTGAGTTTAAAAGCAGACTTAATTTTCAAGATTTCAGTTCAGAAAATATATTTTGTTTTCCTTTCCCCATTGTTCACTTGCTTTGACCAGATCAATTTAAAAAACAAAAACAAAAAAAAACATGCCTTTTTGCCCACAGATTCTGCATATTCACACACAGAAACACATCTGTTTCTCTAAAGTCTGACTCTTTTTGCTGTGGTGTGATAGAAAAGTTTTATATAAGAAGTGTATAGAAAAGGTAGCTATAGGCTAAAGTCAAACTCTTGGTAAACATGAGTTAATTTGCTGCTTTAAAAGTGGGCCAAGTTTGTCTTGATGCATTCTCAATTATCCAGGAGATGTGCCAAGTTTGATAATGTTAGATTGGATTTGTTAGCTCAGCTTTAACGAATGTAAGTGATAAAACTTTAAGATGTTATTTAATGAGTTCTTTCACTTTTTCGAAGTTTAAAGTGTTAGTTTTTCATTTGGAATGAGCTGTTCTCTTTAGCGGCACTTTCCCTTTTTTCTCCGTAACCAAACTGACCAATCGGCCTCAGATATACAGTCTAGCCGTTTCTTTGACAGTCTCATTAGCTTCAATTGCAACGTGACGTGCAAATCTCTGGAAATGGAACTGCACATTACTGCAATGCTGATCGCAACTGGGATTGTTCTGCTTGTTATGCCACATAAGCATGCATGTCAGTTTAAACACATGCTTTTACAAATAGATGATAGGATGTGAGTGTATCTGGCTGCTTTATCGTGCTAATACTAATCTGGCAGCCAGTAATCGGCCAGTGTAGCTATCTGCTGTTGTTTCCCAGGTTTTTTTTTTTTTGTGTGTTGTTACTTACACCCGAAGTACATGCAGGACAGTAACCTCGTTGTAAGCTAGCATTTTCTATGTGTATTAAGAGAATAATTCTGACATGAAAATCATGTTAGATAAAGTGGGACATTCAATTAAGTCTATAAGTATTTCAATATACATGGTACCCTGTTTTTCAGAGGCTAAAAAAATAACTAGACAAGCTAGTATAACTTTAAAGGTGGGGATTGTTTTTAATATTTGGATGAAAATCATTTTCAGTCAGTGACTGATGGACATCACCAATCACTACTGATTATAATGTAACCAGGCACATATTTGGCAAAAATATAGATTTCCATCCATCCATCCATCCATCCATCCATTTTCTTCCGCTTATCTAATCCAGGAGAGCTGGAGCCTGTCCATAGGGTGAGAGGCTGGATACACACTGGACAGGTCAGCAATCTCTTCCTGGGTTAACACAGAGATGGACAACAATTCATGCTCTCATTCAGACATATGGCATGACGGGGAATACAAAGTCTTTTCAGCTGCCTTCAGTTGAAAATGGATGAAATAAAGCTTTACATTCACCCTGTACTTCTTCTTTATGAGCCCATCAGACTGTCCTGTAACTTGATGAGTCTCATCTGTCAGAAAATGGACCACAAGAAACCTAATCTTCCTTCCATTCTGGTTTACAGTCTCAGCAGCACAAGAAGCATAGCCACTGGGGATATAGCAACACTACAAAAGATGTGGGAAAACAACAGTTGAGCTAGACTGAAGGCATCCAGGAGTGTACTTAGTTTGATGTTCCTCGACTTTCAGTCTTCATTGGAACAAAGCCTAGTTATATGAAATTCCCCAGCAACATCCCAGCAGCACAGACAGAAGAGTCTGAGAGCATCCTCACAGCTCTTATTAAATCTCCCGAGCTACCAGGCAGAGATGCAGCAGAGGCTCTAATGAAGCAATTACAGGCTTGAGAGGGATGAGTTCCAAGCCCAGGCCAAGACTGCTTTTTACTGCCACTAAAAAGCTGACAGCCAGGCACAGAAAAGTGGCGGGGGTGACATTTATTTTCCAAGAAGTGTTAAAATCGGATTAAGAGAGGGGAAAGACTCCCAGGTAAGGGTGAGAACATCGAAATGACCACAAATGAGATATAAACACAGCTAAATGATAGCTACAGAACCTGGGCATCACCTTCTCTTGCACTGTGAGATAATATAGTGCAAGTAACTCTTTATTATGCATTATGTCAACTCATATTTGATGCTAAGCATTCATTGTAGGGAAGTTTTCGCAGCACTTTCCAGTCATCCCTTCATATCTAAGTAGACAGAGATGTAATCTCTTACTACCTTGCTTTGCTGTCAGTTAACTCAGCAAGGTTTTAATCTCTTAATATACAAGATCTTATGAAGGATTGTGTCTTTATTTATAAAAACCGAGTGATGCAAAGTGGATTTCAGTGTCGGGATGGCTACCAAGCTGCTGTTACTGGAGATACACCCAAGCACACAGATAACATTGTCACAATCCAGCCTGCCATATAGGCTTAAGGGCTTATCAACTCTGCCAGAAATGTCAAACAAGCCTGTGACTGTTGCCTGAAGACACTACACTTTCCTGAGTTTAGATAACATGTCCTTACTGAAAAGGTAAATCCCATACCCTTATCCTAATTACAGAGTGGAAAGCAGTCATAGTTGCCTCTAAATAATGGCCATGCCAAATGTGAAGGCAACCTGAATTAAGAAATAAAAACAGAATGGTAAAAAAGTGAGTCAGGAGAATTTGGTATCAGTCAGATTTTTGCTATTGTACACCACCTGCCTAAACACAGAAGGGTGTCCTGTGGTGTTTCGCACTGGGACGTTGGCAGCTGATTATTTCGGTCCTGTAGGTTGTGCAGTGGGGCCTCTGCAGTCAGGTCAAGTCACTGTTATTTATCTAGCACATGTAAAAACAACAGGAGTTGCCCTGAGGTGCTTTCCAGCTGAGGAAAACATATTAACAGTTCAAGTCCCTAAAAATATAAATACAAAGCCCACATAAACAGAAACATGAATACACTGAAAAGCAAAGCAAGAATGTAATAATCATAATATAAAAAAATCTATCAAAAATCAATCAAATAAAAACCTCGGAGTAAAATTATACAAAAGAATACATTTAAAAGAAACAACAGTCATCCAAGGGAGCAAAAAGGAAACTTTGACAGGTGGCTGACAAAAGGCAGGCACCTCAAATTTTACCTGGCTAGATCACTATGGCAACCTGTAGACATGCAAAGCTAGTTATGGATTTGGGTTTAAAACAAGCTACAAGTGCTATATTTTAACTTGTAATTGTGATTGATGTGCAATATATACATACACCAGCGTCTCCATGAGGTGTTCCTTGTTGGAACATTGTTCACTTGCAGAACACAGGTTCCACAAGATGCCAAAAACATTAATAGGAATCGGAATAATTTTGGCATTTTGCAGTTGCTGGAGATTTGTTCCCTGCCAATCCATGAACTGAATGTGCTGTTTCACCACTTCTCAGAAGTGCTCTATTAGAGAGAGACCTGGTGTCTGTGGAGGCCGTTTGGAGGGCAGCGATGGTTGTATGGGGAAAATCCCAGTAGATCAGCAGCTTGTGAAAAAAACAGACCTGGCCATCTGGCGCCAACAAACATGCCACATTCAGAGTCACGGAAATAATCTTTCTTCCCATTCCCTACTCAGTTCAATCTTCAGTATGAACCTCACCATGTGTACATCTAAATGTTTTGGCTTACTTTCCTATGATTACCTGATGGGGGTTAACAAGCAGTTTACCAGTTTTACCCGGTGAAGTGTGTGGTGAAGACTTCCTCCTGAATGAGCGAATTGTATATATGTAGCCAAGGTTTCTGGCGTATGTGCGACAGACTGAGCATTCCTGGATCCACTGTGGCAAATAAAGGAGGCAACAAAAGCAAAACAAACAAAGCAAATCGGTGAACCAGGTAGAAATGGGAAGAAAAAAATCTGTAACAAGAAAGCTAATGAGAAAATTTCCCTCTTATATCATCCTCCTACTGTGAAGGTGGTAGGGTCAAATCCCAGAGGAGCTGCCAATGAGCTGCAGTTGTAAACGTGAATGAGTAATGTTCACTGGGTTAGAGTAGCGCTGTAGGGCTATGGGGTTTGATTCACACGGATGCCAGTCATGCTGAAAATGCATGCACTTCTGCTCCGGCTACAAATGTACTGCCCAAGTAAAAGCAGGCAGGATTGTTGTCATTGTGTGCTAAACTCTGCCAAACACAAAGCAGATGTTCATCACTGACTTTTAATGTTGTATCTTACAGGCAGAGACACTGGATTGGCTTTGTGGGAACAAACATGATGAGATTGATTAATTACATTTGTGGACATACTCATAATTTAATCAGAAACATATTACAGCAATTTGCCAATTAGTGGAGCTGAACTATTAACACATTCACCAGGTTAATTTAGGTGAAGGAATATTGAAATCAAATTAAGCATAAAATGATGTATTAAA